AAAAGATCTGTAAAAAGAGAGAAAAAAAATCGAAAATCATTACTAGTCAAGGCACTAAGGAGAGCGTCGATAACTAAAGAATTCCAGTTTTCCGTCGACACTGGTCTAATTTAGTCGAATATGCAATTCGTTTGCAATTATTTCCTCGAGGATTTTGCACGGTTTCACGAATTTTGTAATCGAGGAATATTAACTCAAGAGATAATAAGGAGTAGGAAAGACGATGGGCTGCCATACGTACGCCCTTGGTTTATTTTGATTTTGAGTAAGTATTTAATTCGCCAAATACGACATTTATTAGTTCATATATGTTATATGTTCATGATTATTTTTGCATATTGAATCCGTTCCCCTTTTCGTTTGTAAAGCGTACTATCTCGAACCAGGCAAGGCTCGTTTCCCATGCTTTAACTACAGTATGTTAAAGCAACGATTAATCTACCTCATGTATGTATGTATATGTCGAATACTGCGACGCTAATCCTCCCGACTTAGCCCTGGAAACCAACAAGGTTAATTAAAAGAAATCCTTTTCTACTGGAACAAAGGCAGTGTGTTTGATATAAGTAAATAATTGGTACGCTTCTATGGCTCGGTGGCTAGTGACTATTAGTTAGTGACTGTTTCTGTAAGTACTGCAGGGTCGATAGAATTCTGTTTTGTTATGATACCAGGTTCTTCTCCTTTATTTCAGTGGCAGGAAACGTTTCCAAGGTCAATGCTAATGAGTGATGTGTTTCCATGCCCTTCGTCAGACTCCGGAAGCACTACACTTGTTTCTGTTCAGGAGGACCTTATCTATGTTAGGGAGAGATTCTGATAAAAAAAAAATCCTCAGCTGCGAACCTCCTGCCTTTCCCAGAAACGATCGAACTCGAACAGTAGGAGTGACTCATTTCTGTTTCGAATGCATTGCGTCATGGAGAAGTCAGCGGGCAAATGGAATTCGATATCTGGTTCCTCTTTGCTTGCGTTTTTTTATGTAGAGGTTGGCCATTACGTGTTTATTCTATCTTGGTTCTGCAAGAAGGTACCCGTCTTCTTCACACACGATTTGCATCAGATACTGAAGTGAGGCTTTCAGTACGGTTCAAATATCGCTAGTAATGTTCTTTAAAACACTCTGTATCTGCATCCTCTGATGAAAAAGGAGCTGCTTCCCATCCTGGATGAGTTCATTTACAACCCTAGCTACCTGCTCAGGCGTGGCCAATCGTGATTACGTTTTCATTTGTTAGACACAGTATAGTATTCTGTGATTATTGGAATTGCACATGGTAAAGTTATGTTAAGTAAGTTTATTTACCACCCTGACTATCTGTTCAGGTGTGGTCAATCTTGATTACGATTTTACATATATTAGACATAGTGCGCTTTAAGTAAATTCATTTACCACCTTGGCTATCTGCTCAGACATGGGCGGTCGTGATTACAGATTTTTATATATGTGACATGATACAGTATTCTGTGACTACTGTAACTGTTTACGGCAGTTTTACATAGTAAATTTAGGATATAGTACGAGTATATTTTCCAGTGTATCAGATGAAATGAAATATTCACATAGGTCTTTATACCTCATGTTAGGTGGTCTGAAAGGCTGTATCACATGACATTCCGAGATATAGTGCTCAAGCGTTTGCCTGTTTTCTTCGTTACACAGTCTACATCTAGATTCATCTACACTTCTTGCGCCGTGCAGTTGCCAATACATTATGTAACCTAAGCGTATTCTGGCAATAACCACGTCACATTGTCTGGATCGACTTCGGTGCCATCCATAGGAAGGCTTGCTATTTCTATACTGATCGTAGTGCCTTATGGTATAAGCCTTTGAGTATTTGTCAGTTCTACAAGTTTACAGTATCTTTGATGCAGGCTTCCTTCGCCAAATTGTCTACGTGGTCGTGCTTGAGTTTACAAACATGAGATGGAATCCATACCAATTGAATGTTGAAATTGCGCGCTTAATGCAACTCACAATTTCCTCATCGCCACCTGCTTTGAAAGAATTTAGCGTACGAAGAGCACTCTGAGTCACTGAAAACTACTACTAATTCCGTTGCAAGGAGTACACCAGCCAGCTCCGTTTGTGTAGTGCTGGCCCAATGTTGCACTCTTATATTAACGAGATATAGTAGTAAGCCATTTTTGAATACAGCGCAAGCACAACTAGCTTTGTATCCAAATTATAAGGATCCGTTAGTGTAACACTCGTGTGCATCATCACCCATAGATTCTGTGTTCCTTTACCGTTGCTTACGCGCAGTTACGTACATTTTGTTTGTATGTGTATGTGGTAGACACGTAAAGTGCACGATCAATGTTGAACTTTTCCATGGGGGAATGGATCGACCCTTTGGTATTTTACTAATTGGGACATTGAGCTTTGTAATGTTCATGGAAATTTTGTGTATCAGAGGGCGCGCGTGTGTGTTTATTCTCGTCTGCTTGCTTGATTTTATGCTGCAGTTGTTTTTGGAAATCTGAAAAAATACAA